ACGCGGTAGTTCGGAAGAGTAGTCAGATTTATTTGGCGGCTGAGAGGACGAGGAAGAGTCGGGCGGAGGGACGGTAGTTGGTGCAGTCCTAGAGGCGCAGTTTATCTGGAGGTGCCAAATAAGCCCAATTCGTGGCCGGAATGTCCTTCGACACCGAGGACACGTTGGAAGCGGTTGTGCGTCGGTGTTGCGGATTGGGTGCAGTTGTGATTTGCGGCTTCGCGTTTGACTTTGGTGGCGGCGATGCGGTTGACTTCATAGATCGCAGCGTCTGTCTTCAATCTCCTGCTCCAGGTCGATCGGTCGAGAACGAGCTGTTCCCATTTGGTCGGGTTAGTTTGAGGACGTTTCAGGGAGGACTTCAGAGTATCCTTGTAAAGGCGAATTTGGTCTCCTTGGCGACGAGAACCCCTGGCGACGTCTCCGTAGAATGGTCGTTTGGGTAGCCGTTCGTCGTCCATGCGCAAGAGGTGGCCGCATCAGCGCAGCTGCATTTGTCTCAGAATTATGTAGATGCTGGGGATTCCCGTTCGCTCCAGTACATTAGTGTCGGGGATTCTGTCCTGCTAGCTCAGCCCCAGAATGCGACGAAGACGACTGAGGTGGAAGTGGTTAGGTCGGCGTGCCTGTTTTGTATACACTGCCCAAGTCTCCACTTCGTACAGCAGCGTCGGCAGGATGACGGCCTTGTACATCTTCAGCTTCGTTCTTAGTTGAAGACCATGACGATTCCAAACTGTGCTTTGAAGGCGACCGAAGGCTTAACTGACTCTTGAAATCCGGCGTACGATTTCCTCATCGATTTTGGTGCTCTGGGAGAGGGCACTACCAGTGGACTTGCGTTGCATCTACCACACTCTCTCCTCCTCTGCCGCCTGATCCCGGTGTCAGACAGCTTCAGGAAGACTGGAGACGAGGGAGGCCGCAGGTGGATGGCTTGTACGGATCCTCACCTTGGCCCTCCACTCTGTTACCCCTGGTCCTCTCAACAACTGACCAGGATTTTGAACAAAAAAACAATGGGGTGTTGGCAGTGGTCCTAGTTGTGCGACGACCGCCGACAACAGGGTCCGCCAGCGTACCCCGTAAATTTTGGCATTTGTTAATGCACAAAGATAACGCCTGCCAGAATCCGATGTGGTCGCGTGCTGGTCCAGCGCGTCTAACACGTGGCCCGTTTGGGGGGCCACACACACACACACATGACAGCGCAGAATCCGTGCAGCCTGATAAATGCGTACCGTGGACCAGTCTGATCCCATTTTGGTCCACTGTGTCTCTTTGTGGGGACCACGACTCACCCCACAATGCCCACATGAACAATAACACTGCATTCTCCCAGTGCCATCATCAGTTTCAACAGAACCTGCGGCGAATATAAGATAACTAGCTGACCACTAGGGCAGATGATATTCCTAGGCACGCAGGTCTTGGTTAAATTCGGAAGTTCTCTGAGGCCTTTGAGGAAGTCTGTGGTCCTCAGTTCACCTGGACAGCGCTCAGCTTAGATGAACAATCCTACTGGCAGCGAGGTCGCCGTTTCTGGAGAGCTGGACCAATCACTTTGGGCACCTTCCAAACAGTTCATCTTCCATCTGCGGCGGAGCCATCACCAAACTGCTTCTCCTAAACTGCCTACCCCAAATGCGGGAGACAAGCATACATTTCTCTGCACCACTAGAAAAAATCATTTAAGCTCATAAAATTTTTTGATGGACTTGCATCAATAAACAGACAGATATAACGCTGTATAAATGGACATTTTGCGAACTTTAGAAATTTGATAATAACAAATGTTTTGAATTACCCGAGAGATACTTTTTCTTGAAGCAAAAAATTAAACAAGACGTAATTTTCTATGTAATAAATAGAACAAAGAGAACTTTTGTATATGTTCTGCATAAAATATGTTTAAATTTCTAAGGACAACTACAATCAATCGAAAGAATACATGCCACTAAAATAGCCACTTTTACCGAGGTTGGTTCTTGCAGATAGCCCAAAAGAAGCTCATTAAAAACCGGAATGCTAGTGTGACTGAAATATCGCCGGATTATCCTGCGTAATGGTCAGTATTAAAGCCCCACCTAAGAAATTATTACGTTCAGATGTGGTTATGTGGCCCCACCTGAAGTAAACAAGCCCCAGCCACCTGTAATACGCGAACGGTGGTAATAAGGTCTTTACAGGTGGGCCAGGGGAGCGCACAGGCGACGAGGTCGAGTAGTTGTATACAAACGAAAAGCTATTGGGAATGTGCTGTTGTACTCTAAATGGTTGAGAAATAATTGTCCTAAACCCTAACCCTAACTCTAACCTCTAACCCTAACCCCTAAATCCTAGACATAAACCCTAGCCCTAACATTAACCCCTAGCCCCAACCAAAACAGTATTGTGTCCATCAGGTGGGGATACATAACCACATCTTACCATTCTTTTTAATTAAAAATACATTTCAAAATTTCGGTTCGAATTTCATGCAGTAGGCCAACCACCGTCAGTAGGTGAGCTAACTCATGAAATGTTAACCGAAATTCCGAAATGAGTTTTCGTTTCGAAATGATTAATTAAGAAGGGTTGTAAAACTAGTCAGCCTGCAACATAATTCTCGAATATTCCAGTTACCTTAGGATGCTGGCTTTTGAATAAAGGCCCATCCGGCTGCATACAAAAACAACACTCTGTAAAAAATAACTACTTAAGTAGCATGAATTTTTCTCGTTGATTTTCGATGCCGCTAAATGTCCAATTATATTTCGTGGAAAACATGCATAAAAATATTCATGCTTTGGCTCATTTGGTAGACAATTACGTCTTCTTCCAATTTTATGCTCTAAGGAAGAATATAATTCGGTTTTCAAAAAATGTTCCAATTCCCGAATAATTTTGAACCCGCTCTACCGTTACACTTGCATTCAGGGTTTCCAATCTACAAGTAGCATATATTCCGCGTACGGAAAACCACACATTCCTCTACGGTAATAAAGGGGACCATTTATTTTTTATAAAATTAAGCAGCGGATTTAAGCTTCATCGTTAACTTTACAAGCCACATTGGTAAATGCAGAGATATGACGATTTATAAACGCCCATTTCACGGTATTTAAAAGTCCCACAATGAGAAACATTTTTAAAACCGATTATATCTCTCCTTCGAGTATAAGATTGGAAGAAGACGTAATTTTCTACCGAATGAGCGAAAGAGTGAACATTATTATGCGTAGTTTCCATGAAATATAATTGGACATTTGCAGGCATCGGAAATCAACGAGAAAAATGCATGCCACTTAAGTAGTCGTTTTTTTACAAAGTGTAGTTTTTGCATGCAGCCGGAAGGAAGTTCTTTCGAAAGCCGGCGTCTTGCGGTAACTGAAATATTGTATAATTATGTTGCTGGCTGACTAGCCTTACAACCCTACTTAATTAATCTTTTCGAAACGAAAACGCATTTCGGAATTTCGGTTGACATTTCATGAGTTCTCCCTCCGACTGTATATTCCAATCAAAATTAAAGAAAGCTCTTCCATGGCCTTAAACACAGGTCTTGTGAGAATGGGAGGAATGAGCAAGTGATTTGTGGCGAGAGCAGACTCTTGTCACTCTGAGTTCTGTAGTCTACCAGCGCAGCCGTTCTTAGGCAGAATGATCTTCAGTGCATTATTCCCCTAGCCCCCTCTTGATAAGCGTCCGCCGGTAGAAAATGGGATGAAAACATTCACGCATAAGGCAACATTTGTTGGGGTCAGGGCCGTAGACACGACCATTGCGCGCGTAGGATGGAGTTGAGGGGGGGGATAGGTGGATGCACAGGATTGCCAGGGCCTAACGGAGACGCGTAAATTGTAAGGGACACTGTGGAAAGTGAAGAAGACTGGCTAGTTCGAATTGGGCGGGAAGGGTTGGCATAAGTCACGCTCAAGTGAACGGTTAAAATCACCGCATTGGGATGATCGGCAAAAATTTCCGTAATTTGACTCGGCTCGCGACAGCGAAGGGAGGAGTCCATCACAAGGGCCTTGCGACAGCCTACTACTGTCACCTACGCCAAGACGTCAGGTAGACATGTGGCACATTCACTGAGTTGTGTGGAGGGGTGGCTCTGGGGTGGGTCATTATTTGGTGCAAACGTTGTGCAGTGTCGGTGACCTTCACCTAACTAGCGGTTCAATTCAATCACATTTCCTTCTTTTTGATGGTGTTCCTGTCGGCAGCCTGCGAGCGCGGCCTGGAAAATTCGCCAGAATTCGTAGGGCGTCGTTGTACACGAGTTCGGTTGCGGAACCCTCTAAATCAGCTTTTAGTGCAGCACAGATACCGCGCATGTCAGTGGGTGGGGTTCTCACAGGCCCCGGGCGGGGCTTTGAGATGTCAACGCGAGTGCAAGATCAAGCTGTTGGATGAAGAAAGGCATGATGTGGTGTATATAACGGGGACATTCGGGGAGGTTAGCAAGACTTTTAAAAAATCTTCTTCAAATTGCTGGCCTTAATCGGTGATGGAGGCAGCTGGGGGTATTGCGGTTTGCCTGAAAGGTGCGATCAGCCGTGTCCGCATGAAGATATTTAGTGGGAGCTGTGATTGGCCACTGCATAATGCGGTCAGTTACAGTGGGCAGGTAGCTGCAAGCGTAGAACTCCGATAAGGGACCTACCAAGTCTATGTGGGCAAGAGCGAAGCATGTTTTGGGGACAAAGACTTCGTTCTCATGTTGGACCAGACAAAACGATCAGTCCTATGACACTTGGTAACTCGGATGCCGAGATAAAGCAGGCCTTATAGAAAATATTGGGTTGTTTAATAATTCGCTGAGTTTTTTTTCGATTGCGATCTTTCACGTCAACTCGTTTTGTTATAACAAATGTTACATATTATCTGAAAGGACTTGTTCCGCTCTGCAAGACCATTATCGGGGTCTTGGCGGGACAGAATTGTGTGGACGTCTAAACAGGACAAAAAAAAGAATTTCCTTCCCAAGTAATAAAGGAGGACCTATGCATAAATCTAGAAGAAACAAAGGATTTCCCTGTCCTAACTCCCACAATAACCCCGATATCGTCCTAATCTTGACCCTAACCCTACCCTAAAACTTAACTGTCCGCTTACCCCTAACCCCTGCCTTAAGCCAAAACATGACCTTGGCTTACGTTATCGCTAACGTTAAATCTAACCTAAAGCTTATAGTAGGGAAGTTAACTCATGAAATGCCAACCGAAATATCGAAATGCGTTCACGTTTCAAAAAGATTGGTTAAGTAGGGTTGTAAAACTAATCATCTTACAGCATAATTCTATAATTATCCAGTTATTTGAAAATGTCGGCTTTCGAATGAACCAATTTTCGACTGCACTCAAGAACTATACTCTGCAAAAAAGGACTACTTACGTAGCATGCAATATTCTCATGGGTTTTCGATGCCCTTAAAAATTCAACTATATTTCATGGAAAAATGTATAAAAATATT